GCGTGTACTTTTATGAAATCAATTAAATCTACTTGTTCTATAGTTGTTCTACGTGTTGCGGGTTGCTTGTACTTTTATGATATCAAATAAATCTACTTGTTGTATTGTTGTTCTACGTGTTGTGGACAACACTTCAATGTATGACTCTAAGATGTTATTTTGTTGGTAATAAGATTGTTAGTTTGTTCCTTTTGAAGCCCAATCAGAAAATTAAATTGGCATAAGTTGCCTTGAAACTTCTAAGGGAACTCTTTTTTTTTTTTTCCCGGATGTAACCTTCTCTTTAGATCTTGTTTGATCCCCCTTTTTTCAAAATACATTTTTATCTCTTTTACTTTCATCCACACATTTTTCAATAAAATAATATTACACCCACTTCAAAAACTTTTCTTTCATTTTTAACCACACAGTCTCCATCAATCTACTATTTCAAAATGCATTTTGCACCAAAAATAGGCTCAAACATGCCCTTAGATTTACACTGTTGTTTTCATAATTTGTAAGTTGTTTCGATGAAATGAAAGGCAACTCAAATTCTGCTTGAGATTTTAAAAATATGATATATATGGCATGTAGCTATTAAGAAGTCGTTAGGTCCGTCTATTAGCAACTTTTCAGTTTTACTTGGGACTTAACTGCAAAAATAAATTAAAAAAAAATTAATCTAGAAGGTGAGAATATAAAATTACAATTTAAATAAAAATATCTAGTAATTATTATTTGCGAAAAGTCAAGCTTGGGACACTTTAGAAATTTCTAGAAAGTTTAGGGACTACAATGAAAATTATGGGAAAAATCTTAAGAGCCATAATTTGAAGTCTTTACTAGAATGTTGTAATGATGATTTATGGTGAGAAGAGGGATTTTGCTACCTGTACATCAAAATTGTACTTAAGGAGTTACATAATATGATGTAGAGGAAAATGATCGGATGAAAGAATTGATTATATTTAAACTCACAAATGATACCCCTGACGTACATGTAGCAAGATCTTGAGAAAAGTGGGTTTCAAGAGCTTAAAACCTAATTATAAAATTTAAGAGCCATAACTTGAAGTCTTTAGAATGTTGTAATGATGATTTATCGTGAGGAAAGTGGGTTTCAAGAGCTTAAACCCTAATATTGGGCCTTAATACAATAAGTGTAAAGTTTAGGGACTACACTATAAATAGTGAGGAACACAATTTTTTAAATGAGAAGGCGATTGAGTTAAAGTTGACGACAATACATAAATAAGGTGGTTATATTATGCCTAGTACATGTATTTCGTTGTTTATATTTGATCCTGAAGTCTGCTACTTGTTTGTTGTATAATTTAATCGAATGTGCTCTTTTTGACATGTAAGCTTCCAATTCAACGTGTTAGCAGGGAAGGTTGCTCCTGGTTTTGGCATTGTGGCTCTCGAAGATGAAGATATACATGCCTCAGGCTAGTAACTCTTTTATCTACTTCTAACAATTTTATTGTCAGCTTAAAGGGACCATAGAGTATCTAATTTGTACAATCTCTCATTGAGTTCTACTGTAGAAAATACGCTGGACTGTTGTATCTGGCTCCGTAATATTTCTATTTTAGGAAGTTGGGCTAATGGATGTAGTGGTGTCAATGGGCCAAGCCGAGCCAAGCCGGCTCGGCCCATTGTCGCACGAGCTCGGCTCGTGCGAGCACGAGCCGAGCTCGTGGCTCGACTCGCTGGCTCGCCTTTTGTTTTATTATTATTTTTTTTTAAATAACGCTACT